ATGACGCACACGCTCCCGCCTCCGCCGCCGCGGCCGGGCGGTGGGCCTCGCGGGCTCGGGCTGGAGAGGACGGACTCGGGCCGGGGTGTGGACCAGCCTCACACGGAGCAGCTCCCGCTCTGGCCCCGACATGGCCGACGAAACCTGACGGGTCTCTAACAGCCCTTTGAGCGACGGGGCCGCTCGCCCCGAACCCCAAACACCGTGTCGCGGATCCCCGTCCGAACCGGGCCCTGCTTCCGGAGCCTTCTCTCCTCCCGACGGCCGTGGCCGCTCCGTCTGCCCGGGCCTCCCCAGACGCCACACGAGCCACCCCCGGTGACCCTCCCCCCACCTCCCGAACCGTCACGTGGACCGTTTCCAAGCGAGCACAAAAGCAGGGTGCTGCGTGGTCTGCGGAGCCCCCCGCCTGCTCCCCACACGGCCCCCAAGGGGGCGCAACAGCCTGTCTCGCTCTCGCCTGGGTTTTGTCCACTGACCACCCCCCCAGCAGGTGCCCTGGGGGACCAGGCCGGGCGAGGTTAAGGCGGCGGGCGGTGCTGGACTGTGTGGGCTCCGTTCTGGTGTCCCCAAGGGCAGAGCAGCTGGACTTCAGCGGGGAGTGGGGGAGAGGGGAGGCTGCTGAGCTCTGAGAAGAAATGGAGCTGCAGACGGAGGGTCGGACCCTGCGGCTCAGCGCTGGGCGGTCCCCGGGTGTGCGCGGCCACACACGGTTACGCCCGGGGAGCCGTCCCTCGCGACGCCCTTGGACGAGTTCTTCACGAAAGACGGATTCCCACGCACGGCCTGTTTCTCAGGAGCCGACCCACCCTCGTCGTTAGGCAAAGGGCAGCGAACGCCCTGGGAGGCTGCGGCACTCACCGGAGTGGGGAAGCGGATGAGGTCCCTCAGGGTGAGGACGGTCTCCGCCCTGTCTTCCTGCACCGTGTCTTCCTGACCAGGACGAGCAGGCGGCGGGCGGGCGGGAGGAGACAAAGGGAGAGGGCGTTGGCCGCGGGCTGCGTCTGCTCGTGTGGAAACCGGGCGGATCCCGCGTTTCCGAGTGAAGAGCTCGGGCTGCGACATTTCTGGAGAGACCATCGCGTGGTCCCCGGCGTTCCCCACCCCCCCACGCCCCGCCCTGGGCACCCACGGGCCACCGCCCCTCGCCCTATAGGAAGGCGACGGCGGGGAACAGGAACTAGGGCGACGGCGCCGAGTGCGCGTCGGAAAAGGATGAGAGAGACGGACGGGGCGGAGGAAGGAAAAACGTCAGTCAAACGACGTGTCACAAAGACACCGAAACTGGTGTCTTCTTAGGCGTGAACGTGCTCTGGAGACAGCTACGGGGTGAGCCGCGGACACGCCGCGGGCAAGGACGGCCGCACGGGAGCAGGCGGCCCTCCCCGGGGAGGCCACGGCCTCAGGACCAGCGCCGGAGCGCCACCGTCACGAGCGAGAACCGGACGCGGCTCGTGTCAGGTTTGCTCACAGGAGCCCGTGCACGGTGACGAGCGGCCTGGACTGGTCTCAGGGAGAGCGGCCGCATCTGCTTGTGAAATGCCGGAGCCGGTGGGAGGCTGCAGCCGGACACCAGAGCCACGCAGCGGCCGGCACGGTGTCCTCCCTCACCCGTGTCATGAGCCACCCGTGTCATGAGCCACCCGGCCGCAGGCCCTGTCCGCTGGGACACCGAAGCTGGCCGGCCCTGGCCCGCACCTGGTCATGGAAAGCTAACCCGCACACCGAGGCGATGAGCGTGTCCCGCACTGGTGACCACCATGCACACGCGGGGCTTCCGTCCTCCTGCGCCCAGCGGCTCAGGACCCTGGCGACCACGGCGACGTAGTCCCTCGCTTCCGTGTGGCTGCCCGTCAGCTGGAGCGCGGACAGGTTTCTCAGGGTGGAATTGTACCTGAAGGACACGGGAGCGTCATCTCGGTCACTCCAACACGCCAGGCCACCCAGAGCGGACGGCATTCGTCACAGAAACGCTTGCCGGGGCGTCGGGGCGGAAAGCTATGACTCGAGAAGCCTTGGTCCGCGCGGAGAAAACTCTAAGACGATGTGAGGGGCAGCGTCGGACGCTACGACCCCCTCGTCAGGACCGAACGGGTACAAAGAGCCGGACAGAACGCCACGGACACACGCGCATGACGGCGAGCGGCTCAGAGCCGGACGGAGATCCAGGCAGGCGACGGCGGCCGCAGGCCCCCGACACTCCAGGAAGCGGCTCGGTCGGTCGCCCCCAGACCAACGGCAGAGCGGGCGCCTACACTGACACGCCCGACACGCTACGCCCAAGGGGTCGCCCCAGGAAGGTCAGCAATTTGAGTACGAAATCGACCAGTGTAACACGCCGTATCAGCGCACGGAAGGACAGACCACGAGCGTCTGGACAGATGGAGCAAACGTGCTGACAAAATCCAGCACCTGTGCCGATGCCAACACCCCGAAGTCCGAGAACGCGAGGAGACGGCTTCGAGCCGAGAAAGGACGTCCACCGGGGCCCATCGCTAAGACTGATTACCACGAACGGGGGCGACTGGATGCTCCGCCCCCCCGCCCCCCCGCACCGGCCGCTTCTACTCAGCTCTGAGCCGGAGGGTCCAGCCAGGACGGCCACGCAGGAAAAAGGAAGAAAAAGTGTGTGGATTAGAAAGGAAGAAGTGACACCCTCTCTACTCGCAGGCCACGTGACCGCACACCCGGCAGTTCGCAGGGGGCCCCACGAGACCACCAGAGCCGACGGGCCGGCCGGCGAGGTTGCAGGATGCAAGACCCATAGACGACGTCAATCAAACGTGGCACGCCAGCGATAAAAGCACCCCAACTTCAGAAAACAGTTCCCCTCACAACAGCATCGAGAAGAACAAAATACTTAGATTAATTTAACAAAAAGGTTCAACGCTATACACCAAAAATTATAAAATACTGCTGAAGGAAATCAAAGACCTAAATCACGGAAAATCTCAGTTCCCGGATTGGAAGACTTCACGCCGTCGAACGGCAGGGTCCCGAGCGACCCGCACGGCCGGTGTGGTCCTGTCGGAGGCGTTTTCCCTCTTTTTTGTTGGAAATTGGCAGAATGGTAGCTGGAGATCCAGCGTAACCAAGGCAAGCGCGACAAGAACCCAGGCAGCGGAGCCCTGCTTCCCGCTTCAAATCCGCCAGGAAGCTGCGGGAACCTCGTGCGGGACCCGGACGGAGACAGACGTCTGATCACTGGAAGTTTCCCGGCCCGGAAATAGACACCGGCGTTTACGCCACTTGGTTTTTGACAAAGGGACGACCCGGTTCAACGGGAGAAAAGCGAGCTTTCCAGCCGTGGAGCCGGAGCCACTGGGCGGCCACCTGTGAAGCCACGAACGTGCGCCTCACCTCCCGCCACACGCGGAAACCAGCTCAGAGGGGCCCCGGGGCTCCGCGTGACAGCTAAGGCCGTAGCTCTCCAGGAGAGATCAGGAACGGAGCTCCGCGACCTTGGCGGGGGACAATTTCTCAGTGTGCCAGAAGCACGAGCGATAAAAGGGGGGGATTACAACCTCCTGTACCTCCAGGGGAGCGCGGAAGCCCCGGGCTGGGGGTGCGCGCACGAGTCACACGCCTGGCAGGGCCGTGCAGCCGCCCACGTGACAAACGCCCCGCGTCGTCACAAAGACGAATGAAGCAGCCTGGAGTGGACAGCGTGGGGACCTCTCTCCACGGAGGACACACGGCAGGAAGGGCGCTCAGCGCCCCCAGCGTCGGGGGGGCCGCCAACCAGCACCCTGGGGTGTCGCGCCCTGGGCACCGGGCGGCGAGACTGAAGAGGCTGGACGGGTGGTGGAGGCGGGGACAGACCGAGGCCCTGTGAGGGCAGGGGATGCGCACGCCTCGTCCCCACAGCGCGTTCACGCGGCCGAGGGCAAAGCCAGGCCACGCGGCTGGCCCCCGCTGGTAACACGATGCGGCGGGCCGGGGGGGACGCTAGGTCACCAAGCAGTGGGCGCTGACAGGCGCCGGCATCCACACTTCACAAGGGGGGAACGCACGGGCCTCACCCGCTCACACGGGTGTGCAGAACAGGCGGAGCTGTGGGAGGGACTGGGCCGCGGCGGGGTGGGCCGGGGTGGGGCAGGGGCTGCCCGAGGGCAGGTTCCCAGGGAGGGTGGCACACTGCGGACGGGGGTGCAGCTCCGGGTGCCCCAGGATCCAGGGCCGAGCCCGCGAGGAGGGCGAGCGACGCGGTGTGTGAGTGACAGCTCAGCGAAGAGCTCAGGGACCGGGGCACGACCACAAGGGGGGGCGGGGAGCGGGGGGGCGTCCGGGTCGCCCTGGGGGTCCGCGGCGGGTCGGGGTGCTGTGTGGCTGTACTCACAGGTCCTCGCCGGGGCAGTGGTGCCCATGGAAACGTGGAAGCACCGTCACGGCCACCACGCACGGCCGCCCCTGGGCGCCCTCGCCGTCTGCCACCCGGATGGACACCAGGACTGCAAGGGAAGCAACAGGCGGAGGCGGCTCAGTGGGGCCCCGGCTGTGGGGCTGCTCTGCGGGCGTCGGGACGGGGTGGGCTGGGCCTGGCCAGCAGGCGGCGGCTGCGACACCAGCAGACCAGCCGCCTGGACTCTGCTGGCCAACCTGCGTGCCGGCAGCCGGCGGGGGCTGCAACAGGAGGCGCTCCCTTCCCGGGGACCCCCGCGTTCCCGCGTGAACCCAAACAAGACGGGGCGGTGAGAGCCCCAGCCTCGGCGGGAGCCCTTGAGGGTGGGGCCGCCCGGCGCCCAGCACGAGCCAGAGGCCCGCTCAGTCACCTGCACCCGTGCCTGTGGAGGGAGGATGGCACCTGCCTCAGCCTCCCCTTCCCCGGCCTGCTCTGGAGACGGCCGTGCTGAGTCACCAGCAGGGCTGGGACAGGCCACCCGGGGCCATGGGAAGTGACCGAAGCCGGAGAGTAAAACATGAAGCCTGAGACGGAGCGTCAGGGGTCGGGTGAGATTCTAAGTGGTTCCGGGTGAAGGACGGAATGCGACAGGCCCGGAGGAGAGCGAGGGAGGGGAGTCTGCATGAGGAGGGGGGCAGGGGGGCAGGAAATGGCTTTCTGGGACTCGGGGTGCCCTCCGCGATGCGGGCCCAGGTGCGTGGTGGGGACTCCTGTGGATGACACGAGCCAAGGCCCTGCCCCAAGCTCCCCCCACTTGGACCTCGGCAGGTCCTGTGCTCTGCAGACCCCTGCGGACGGGGCCCAGGGCGCCCCCCCATGAACAGGGCCCAGGGCGCGCCCCGTGGACGGGGCCCCCGCAGGCACCGGTCCAGTGAGAGGCTCCGAATGCGAGTCCTGTTCAGACCCAGCTCTGCGCGGGTTGCAGGCCCCACACAGAGGAGTGCGGTGAGCATCCATTTTGAGGAAAATTCCAGAAGGCAGAGGCTGGGTGCAATTTCCGTCTCGAAGAACTCACCGAGGCCGGCCAGGGGGACCCCTCGTCCCCCGCCCACATGCCCGGTGCCCGCCACGGCACTAAGCGGACGTGCCCGCCCCGAGACCCCGAGCGCTCCCCCTCGGTGCTGCTGACCCACACCCAGAGGTGCAAGGGCTTCTGACCGGGGCTCAGGCCAGGCGTCGCGAAGGACAGAACAACTGGGCTGGACGGACGGGCGACATTCGAGTGAGCTAGGCGCCCGGACTAGCGGGCGTCCGGCTGGAACGGACTCGCCCACAGCAAGGAGGCACGAGATCCCGACTCGCCGCCCCCGTGTCGGAACCAGCGGAAGTTCGCGAACGCTCCTCACGCCCAGAGACCGCTCTGCTCTGGTTCCCGCGGATGGGGACACTTCCCTAAATGGCTGTGTCACCAACGTGCTCCGCACAAGCGGGTGTGACGCGGGGTCAGCGTCGGAGGACAGAGCTGTGCACGGGACGGAGCCCGTCTCGTCCTGAAAACCACGCGGGCCAGCTCGGCCCTCCCGGGTCCGCCCGCAAATGCCCGTCAGCGAACGCGGCACAGCCTGGTCTCGACGTTCGACTCGGGGGGACGAGGTGCCCTTCGGCACTGCCTCGCGTTCGCCCTGACTGCAGGTTCAGAGCGTCACTTTGCGTGGAAGGCTGATTCCTCGCTGCACCACAGAGCGGCCGCTGGACCCGGACCGAACCGCGTCAGACGCATCGCGAGACAAAGAACGTGACTTTCCGGACACACAGGCTCCACACCTCGTAGTTCTGGGAACCAGGTCTAGAAGCACAGGTCGGCGCTGCCCGCGACCCCGGCCCGCTGCCCGTGGCCTACCTCGGAAGCCGTCCACGGGCTCGCCGGCCGGCAGCGTGAAGTAACGCTGGGTGTCTCTCCCGCGGTAAAGGATGCGTTTGGGGGCACTTCCCGCCTGGTAGCTGAACTCGTAGCGAAGGTCCTGCACTCCATTCCGGGGTGTGGGGGGACAGTGTGGTCAGCACGATGAATTCCAGCCCAGCACACCCGCCCGCTGCTTACCGCCGAGGGCTTGTCCTCGGACAGGCACCGGGCGGGCGTCACTGAGTGTCCCCGAGGCACGCGGCGGGTGACCACCCACCTCCACAGCCCCCTCTTCCCCAGCGCCTAAAGAGCTGCCTCTGTCCCTTGGGGTCGTGTGCCCTCTGGGCCTGGGACCTCCCGACAGTCACAGATGCATGGACCTCCGGGGCCATCTCGGGGTCGAGGGGACGAGGCTGCCCTCTGCTTCCCGCTGGGGATGCAGCAGACAGGAGATGGGAGGGGACTTGCAGGGGACGCGCTCGGCCTTAGAGCCAGGCCTTCGGTGAGGCCCGGGATGGAGGTGGCCTGGGGACGCATGCGGTGGCTGCTGGGAGGGGCCGCTGGGGCGGCACTTGGAACGAGCGGGTGTCCACCGCGTGAGGACAGGACAGAGGCCAGGGGCAAGGCCATCGCACCTGTGCCCCCGACGTGCAGAAGACACCGAAGGTGGTGTGTGCCTCGAGGCCCTGGTGGGGCTGCACCTGGCAGGCCACGTCCCGCGGGGCCCGGTTGACGGTCAAGTACAGCTGCGCCTTCCCGAGGAAGCTGTGGTTTGAAGCTGCAGAGAACAGGACGCAGGGTCACGGCCCCTGGGGGAGTTGGGGGCGCACGGCACAGATGGTGGGCGAGAGCTCAAGCCTCCGTGGGTCTCACGGTCGGGGCCCCAGGCCAGCAGCGTGGTTCTCAGGCCTGCCCGGCCTGTGGGGTCAGAAAGCTGGGGTGGGGGTGGCCGGGGTGAGCACGGCCTCCGGGGCCCTGGTGTGGCTGGCGCCGAGGGCCAGCACCACGCAGCGCCCAGTAACACCGCTCCCCGGCTGCTCGCTCCGCCTGGAGATTGGGCAGGTGGGACGGGCCAGGTCCCCACCTGCTGGCAGGGGACACCGGAGGGCGCGCGCCCCAGCAAACCCCTTCCCCGCTACATGGTCTCAAAGCTGGTCCAGGACTCGCAGGCACAGCTCAGCGGAGTCTGCAGCGCTGTGCGGTTTGAGGCTTGGCTGTTATTGACGGCACGAATGTTGTAAGCACGGTCCTTTTGCTGCCACAGGGCGTTCGGAATCGGTGCCGTGAACAGACACGGTCCAACACGCCTGACTGTCCTCCCCAACGTTAAACATCTCATTTTCCATTTTGTGCTATCATGAATCATCTTACGATGATTATTTTCATGCACAAGTTTTTTTTCGTTTTTTACTTTTTTACTTTGATGCCTTTTTCTTGAGATAAATCGGAGGTGTGGGATATACATTAAGTCACTTAGAGCTTTGATGATGCTGACCCCCCCCGTGACAGCAGGCGCCACGGCTGCATCTCGGATGCTGTGCCGGAGGCTGTCCCCAAGTACGGACGACAGGTCCTACAGCAGAAGTAAGATCTGAGAGGGCGGGGTGGCCGCTTCCGAGCTGGCCGGGGCGTCCCCAGGAGAAGAGGCACTGAGCGTGCAGAGGCCTGAGTCATGCTGAGGGCAGGCCCCGGGGAGCAGCAGCCCCTGAGACCGGCACAGGGGAGGACGGGCCGTGGGGGGCTGGGGAGGCAGGAGCTCTGGGGACAGCGCTGCCACAGGGTGGGCTGAGGGCTGGCACTGGCACGACTGTGCCCCCCCGAGAGAAGGGCTCCCGGCTCGTCCTTCGAACAAGTCTCCAAAGGCGTGTGTGGGAGCCAGGACCCCGAGTTCCGTTTCTCAACGCACAGCATCATGGGAGGGTCAGGAGGGGCCTTGACGAAGATGTCGACAAAAGCCCTGAGGACAAAAACCGCCTGGGGTCCCGCCCACCAGGTGACGCGAGCGGCCGCGTGGATGCGAGACGGATGTGCGTGGCGGCTGCAGCCAGCGCCCAGCGTGGACGCCGACCAGCTGCGCCTGTGCACACAGACACGCGGCCTCGGGGCCGAATGGAGCTAAAAGCCTCTAGAAATGGGGCAAAGTGCCCAGGAGTCACCCAGAGGGGGACGTCAGGCTGTCACGGAAACGCCAGAGGGACGTGGGCCAGCTCGAGGGCCCCCGGGGAGAAGCCACTCGCGCTGGCCTCCGAGCACGTGCAGAAGCCCCCGCCGTCTGCAGGGGAGCGGTCAAGCGACCCAGCTGTCCAGGTCGAGTGAAACGGGCGACTGCCTCAGCCCTGCTCTGAACACTCACCTGCTCGCCAAGTGCACAGGAACACCTGTGCCTCCTCGGACCCTCTAATGCGGGGTGACAGTGAGGCGGGGGGTGGGTGGCGGGACCTCCACAATGAGAGCCCCGGGGAGGGGTCTCACGTGACCGCAGTTTCCAGGAAAAGCTGCCACTAGAACTAAAGCCCTCATGGTCCCCGCAGCAGGCCCAGCGGGCAGCGCCACCTACCCACAGAGGCTTGCAGGACATACGTCTCTCCAGGGCTCAGCGAATACGGCTTTATCGTCACCGTCTGTCCCGTGATCCCTATGGAAAAGAAGGGGCCTCAGGGACACGGTCATCAGTGGGCTCGAAGGACAGCAGTTCAGACAAACCCTCAGCATAGGCGCCACCCTCAGTCCCAAAGTGACGGTAAAATAGGACTAGTTAACCGGCTTGTCCTCAACCAGACAAGCCACTCCCTGTCTGTTACGCCCTCGGCACAGAGCTCAGAGCCCATCGCCAGCTCCCCTGCCAACGGCAGCGACACCGAGCTCCGGCCAGCGGCCGGGTCAGACGGGTGCTCACTCCCCGGAGCAGAGCGCGTGGGGGGACCCCGCTCAGACGGGGTGCTCACTCCCCGGAGCAGAGCGCGTGGGGGGGACCCCGCTCAGACGGGGTGCTCACTCCCCGGAGCAGAGCGCGTGGGGGGGACCCCGCTCAGACGGGGTGCTCACTCCCCGGAGCAGAGCGCGTGGGGGGGACCCCGCTCAGACGGGGTGCTCACTCCCCAGAGCAGAGCGCGTGGGGGGAACTCCGCTCAGACGGGGTGCTCACTCCCCGGAGCAGAGTGCGTGGGGGGAACTCCGCTCATGCACTAGGAGCGGCTGCCGACCGGTGCGACTCTGCGGGAGGCCGAGGTACTCCGAGCGACACGTACGTCTCTGCAGGACGCCGCTGTGCACAGCGCTGACCGGTGGGGACTGTGACCACCCAGCGGACATGGGCTGACTGAATGCGTGTCCGGAGCGGGGGGACCCCAGTGCGGGGGGGTGGCCCGGGGCGAGGGGACCCCAGTGTGACACGGGGGCCCGGAGCAGGACGGCTCAGCACCACAGAACAAGACACCAGCTAGTGGTAGTGTGGGGCGTGGGTCTCGCAGCAGGGACGAGCAAGTGAGTGACCGCGAGGGGCGATGCGGCGAGCTGAGCGGGTGACTAGGGCGGCGTCGCTGTGCTCGCTCTGCGGGTGACCGCGCCCGGGGGAGGCACAGCAGTGTGTACGCACGGAGGAGCCGGCGCGTTCCCCGTGCCCTGCGCCTGTGGCAGCCGAGTGGCCTCCCTGCCTTGACCTGCAAACAGGGCGCCCGGCAGGCTCGAGCCTCAGCGTGGTCCACAGAGGGACAAACGCAGCAGAAGGTGGCTCGACCCCAAGCTCCCCCCACGCACCCCCCACGCAAAGGAGAAGGCGCAGGGCAGCTCGGGGGCCGGTGCCCACGCCCCAGGAGGCGGCCGAGGTCCCGGGCCCAGGGCGCACCTACCGGACGTGGTGTAGCCCCGGAAAACAGCACGGGCCACCGGGGCCTTGGGCCAGTTGACCAGGAGGCCAGGCCTGGCGCCCGCGGTGGGGAGCACGGGGCCCACCAGGTTGTCCCCGTCACCGAGGCTCCCATCAGCCCTGGCACTGGGTCCTGGCCCCGGGAGGCGCAGACTGGTCCCTGGGAAGACAGAGCGAGCCTGGGTCGGTTACGAGTCTTGAGTCCGTGTCCCGGCGCTAGAGGGCGGTCGGCAGCAACGCCACGTCCGCAGGCGGCTGCCGGATCCCGTGGTCTGAAACGGCTTCGCCGGCCACGCAGGCAGCAGGGGACTGAGGCCGGCACACCGGTCACGTCACTGCTGCGTCCTCCGCCCACGTCCCCTCAGCGCACGTGTGTCTGGCCACGGGGCCCAGGGCTAGTTACTGGGACAAGGACATTACCCGGACGGCTACGGCGAGCGCGTCAGAGAAACACACACGGACACACGGACACCAGCGGCGTAAGGCCGGCGCCCCGCGCGGGAGGAAGCGGGCGTGCCTGGGGGGGCAGACGGGGCTGCTTCAGAGACCGGGGCGGGGAGGGCTCCTGGGAGAGGGGCTCCTGGGGAGGCCGCCTGGGGCGGCAGGGCTGTGGCCGCAGGGAGGGAGGACGGGGAGGAGCGGGCGGTGGGGTGGGAGGAACTGGGGAACCCCAGGTGAGTGGGGGGTGTGGGGGGACAGGTCGGGGTGTGACGCTCTGGGTTGAGGCCCTGAAGGCACCGTCTCTGGCCCTCTGCAGTGACGTGACTGAGGGGGCACGGCTGGCGGCAGAGACAGGCCAGCGGCTCCCACGTGGTCCAGGCCAGAGGGGACAGCTGGACTCTGCTCAGGGGACGCTCACTGAGACTGCGAGAGGCCAGGAAACCGCAGTGAAGTGGATCAATGTCGGGGCTCGGAAAGGGCGCCCACCCGTTGGGAAGAAAGAGTCCTGGACGCAGCACCTTCTCATCCGGTGTGACCCCTGGAGCACCCCCTGAGGGTGGGGATGAGCCCCCGGCACAGACGCCTGCGGTAGGTGGGAAGGACCGTGGCGGTGGAGGCAGCAGAGAGGGTGGCCAGAGGCCCGCACAGTGAACCGGACGAGTGACCCCACCAAGCGCCCAGACGTCCATCCCATGAACACACCACACGCTGGTCATTGTCTCCCATTCGTTCAGCGGACAAATCATTCACTGACCACTCACTGCCTGTTGAACACACAAGCTGCTTGCTGGTCACCTAGTCATCCCATGAACCAAGCTCACTGGTCGTCCATAACAACACAGGTTTCCCTGATCGTTCCCTGACCGTTAGATAGATCACTCCTGATCACCTGCCCATCGCACCAACGCATCACTCATTGCTTATCTAGTCATTCGCCGGATAAATCGATCACTCCCTGATCATTCGCTATTTCTCCGACGACGTGCTCATTGAGTGCCAGTGTCCAGGTGCTGTGACAGCCCTGGGGACAAGTGTAAACACGTCACGGAAACTTTCCTCCAAGAGCTCGGCAGGAGGGTCGGACGCAGAAGGAGCCCATGAGTAGGACGAGCCACCCGCTTGAAGCAGGTCGAGTAACACACTGGGCCGCTGGGAGGAGGGGCCACGGGACAGGTGGAGGGTCCTCCCAGACAGGGACACGCAGCCCACAGAGATTGACGTCCCCCGAGGTGACGACTGGGGGGGACGCTGAGGGAGGCGTTTTCAGCAGATGACGCCCTTGGACCAAAGCGTGGGAGAGGGACAGTGTCCACGGAGGCCTGGGCTCCTCTCTGTGTTTGAGGCAGGGGTACCGGAGTGCATCAGTCGGTGAGCCGGGGACAAGGGAGCAGCCGTGCCAGCCTGTGCCACGCGAAGGAGCGTACACTGCCCACTTTGCCTCGGGGGCGCTGGGTGGCCCTGCCGCACGGCAGTGGCGTGTGGACCTGGGTTTCAGAAGAGGGGGTGGCGGGCAGGGCAGGGCCCCGGGAAGGGGGACGACACAGACTCACCAGGCCACCTTCCTCCGGACGGCGCCGCTTCCTCGATGTCACTGTAATAGGCTTCGAAATCCACTGAAACGACAGAATCAGAGGATCCCACTTCACACCGGAATCACACGGACTCCCGATGGGCGGCGGGCGGCGGCCCCGGTGGCCCCACGGCCGGGCGAGCTCTGCTCTGCGGACACGCGGGCCCCGCGGAGGCAGTGTCCAGAGGCAGTGTCCACCGCGCGCGACCGCGGACACCCCTCACGGGCTCTCACTGCTCTCGCAGGACGTGCGCCGCCCTGTCAGAGTGGACGTGAGCGCGTCCCGTGACACCGCCACGGGGCTCTCCCCACAGCTCCCCCGCAGTCGGAGGGCCTCACGGGGTCTTCCCACCCGCGAACCCGGGGCTCAGCACGCGGGGGTGCAGTGGCCTTCCCCAGGGCACAGGGCACAGAACACGCGTCACCCAGACGCCCGCGGCCACGTCACACGGCGTCCCGGGGAGGGACAGCGAGGGAGAAGGCAGAGGCCGGGCCACACTTATATCACTGACAACGGACTTCGCTCTCAATGGTTAGGTGCGAAAGCAGTTTCTGTCCGACGTGAAAACCAGTGGGAAGGGAAGCGTCGGTCGCTGAGGGGACAGGTGCCGTCACGGGGCCGATGCGCACGGAAGGCTTGTCACAGCCGTGACTGGGCCACGCGCCAGCCGACAGGAGGGAGCGGGCTCCATGAGCACTGGGCTAGGGCAGCGTGAGGCGAGCAGGTGACCTCACACCTGACCGCCCGGGCGGCTTACCAGGGGCGGCGGAAGGCAGGGTCCTCTCAGGAGGGCTGGGCCCCGGGGACCCTTCGTCCCAGGCAGCGTCCCCCGGGGCCGTAGTGACGCCAGCAGCAGGGACCCAGTGCGTGGTGACCATGGACTCCGTGGAGGCTGTCCCCGCAGCCGAACGGTCCGGCCAGCCCGGGCTCTGTGGCCACAGCTCGCGGGAGGACGGTGTGGGCGTGTCATGGGGACTGGTGCTGCTTGGGCCCACGGACAGCCGAGCGGACTCTGACACCTGCGACGTGGCCCCGAGCCTCGCGGAGCCCAGCAGCCCCACCGCTCTGCAGAAGGGGACTGCAAGGGAGATGTCGCAGGGTTACGAGTCTGGACGGGAAAGGGCCATTTGGATTTGGGGAGTGTGCCGGCCACGTAAGCACACTCGGCTTTCAGCAAATCTGACATCGGTTTGTGGACCACACGTAGGCGACAAACGCCGAGGGTGACAGACGGCAGACAGTGACAATGGACGCAGGGCACCAGCTCGCCCGCCACCTCGCCCGCGACGTGCCTGCCCCAGGCCCCCTGCGCCCACTGGCAGGGGCCGTTCACGCGGGCTCGAGACCCCGTCTGGCCTCGCGGGGCCTCTCCTCACCCTCATTCACCCACCCGTCAGCGTCTGGTGCAGTGATTCTGCAGCCCAGGGCTGAGAGTTAGGGCAGAGGTGACCGGCACAGAGAGTATTTGGCGGAACGTAGAAACCGACGTCTCAAGGAGGTGAGCTTTCACTTTCCACCCCGAGAGTCAGATCCTGTGACAGCAGGGCTGAGGGGCATCCAGGCTGGGACAGGCGTTTGCTCCGTGCAAAGTGTAACCGCTGCTGTGCCACCCAGGCCCCGTGACACACTGGATGTGACCCAGGCTCCGTGACACACTGGGCAGAGGCTTCGATCCCGGCAAACCCGCCCACCTAAAGAACGTGGGAGGGCCCCCCTGTGAAGACGGCACAATGGCCCTCCGTCTCCCGTGCCTCCAGCAGAGGGCAGCGGGCGGGGGTCCCCACGTGGGAGCTTCGCGAGGCCCCAGTCGTGGAGGACGTCTGGGAGGCTGGCCCAGCGTCTGTGGAAGGCGGCCCCGGAGACAGCTCAGAAACAAAGGCCCCTCTGTCAGCCGTGCAGAGCGGCCCCTCATCACAAACATTGCCGGTGATAAGTCCCTCTTGCCCAGGCCCAAACCTAGGGGCTGACGCACCCACAGGCCACGGGAGACTTTATTTTATGCACCCACTGCCTGTGGCTGCACGAGCCACGCTCTTCACGGAGGAAACATTGCTGGAGGCGGCTCGAAGCCTCGGGCGGTGGCGGGGGGCGAGGACCCAGGGCGGGAACCAGCGTCCGCCGCCCCTCTGTGGGGTCTCCGGGCTGCTGCCCCAGAGGACAAGGGAGACCCGGAAGGGGTGTGGGGCGTGGGCCGCAGGGGTGCGGCGCCTGTCATTTCAAACAGCTCGCTGCGCTTCTGAACCCGCGAAGCTGCCCGCACGCAGCCGCCAGGCGGGGCGGGCATCAGCACGCGCTGGCCCAAGCGCGGGGGACATGCTCGACCGTGGGCAGGACCAGACACACCGCCGCACATGCGTCACACTTCGCAAAGTTTCAGCGACCTCAGAATCGAGCCAACACAAGGAGGCCACGCTGCCCACCTTCCGCGCGGCTGCCTTCCGTGGCGTTGACCACGAAGAGGTCCCAGGAGTAGGACAGGCCCGCTGTGTCGCCGCAGTCCGCGCACGCGGCCCGAAGGGACAGCTCGTCGTTCCAGTTGACGGGCAGGGCTCGGAAGCGCACCCAGGCGACGTGGACGAACCTGCGGGCGAGCGGCCGGCTGTAGGACGCGGCGCGCGGCCCTTCGGCGCGTCCACGCGCGCTGGGCATGCTCAGATCGCCCCTCTGGCCTTCGTCAAGCGGCAGACAGCGGTCACCGACGACACGAGCGAGCCCCGATGGGTGGCCGAGCCTGTGCCGCCGCCCTAGGGCCTGCCTGCTCCCCGCCCGGCCCCCACGGACTCGCCCGGCCACGACCCCTCCCGAGTGTCCTTGCCGGCCACACTCAAAGCGCAGGGGGACTGTGGGTCCCGGGGCCGCGGGGCTCGGGAACTGCTGCGTGCTGCCCGGTGCTCCGCTCCGTCGCCGGGGCCTGGGCCACTGAGCCGGGGTGGCGCGGGCGTTTCCCGTGACAGCCCCTCTCCCCACTCGCGTCTCATGTGGCCGCCCACCGGCGTCTCCCAGCACGGGGGACCAGGAGGCCATGGCACGCGGTGCCACAGGGGCCTCGCCTGGCCCCAGCCTGTCCCGGGCCGTGTGCGTGAGTCTGCATGCGTGGGGCGGGGCGTGGGGCTGAGGAGGACACGGCAAGGAGCGGCTGGTCTGGCCCTGACCTCCCAGGGACACAGTCACACGGGCCGGGATAGTCCCCGCCGGGGCCAGCGCCGTTCACCCAACTTCAGGCCCCGCGAAGGAATATTTGACAACAAATTCCGTAATTCTCCTGTGAGACTTACACAGCGCATTGTATTTTTAGAATAAAAGGGTCTTAAGATTTTACGTACCGTTATTTAAATCACGCCCCAATATCTCTAGCCCTATCCTGGCGCGTCTTCGCTTTTAACATGTACAAATATAAACAAAACGGAAGTGGCCTGGGCTCCTTCTGGCCTCCGCCCCCAGCCCTGGAGCAGATGCGTCTCAGAGCAAGTGCTATGGCGGACGGGCGCTTCCTACTCGGAGCCCCCCATTGGGAGCCCCCCACTCGGTGGCCCCACTAGGAGCTGCCCACTGGGAGCCCTCCCTCGGAGCCCCCTCCACTCGGAGCCCCCCTCAGAGGCCCCGCCGTCAGCGCGCAGGGATCCCGCGCCCGAGCCTCATCTCCCGTGCACAGTGGGTTTCTTGCAGGCCCCAGCAGCAGCGGGGCGCGGGGCGCCCAGGGCAAACGCCTGCGCCTGCGCGGTGGGGACCTCAGGACAGGCAGTACCTGAGCGCTGAGTCCAGGCGGGTGGACAGGAACACCTGCGCCTCTGAAGAGTTGCGGCCTTCGCTGGACACCACCAGCGTCACGAGAAACTGGTCGTAGCTGCGGCTGAGAGAATCTGCCGCAAAGGAGAGGGTGGGCGCGCCCACGTGCAGGCTGCGTGGAGAGGGCCCCTTGAAGCAGGGGCGCCCGGGGCTGCTGGCTGGGGTACACTTCCAGTGATACCTGCGGGCGAGCCGTTGGGGGTCTGAATGCCCTGCCCTGGTCAGGCAGGTGACCTTGGCGTCATCACGGGCTTCCTGGGGGCCTGCGAGGGAGCACGTGCCCGTGTCCGTGGGGACGCCTGCTCGCCCTGGCAGAGCACAGAGTGTCCAGTCGGGACACTGGGGCAGGCCACCCAGGGAGGGCGTGGGAGGAGAGGGCCAAGGCCTGAGCCAGGGGCCTCCAACGTCCAGGGACGCAGCCACGCAGAGGCCTGTGACACGGAACCCAGCCTCCCACACACCAAACATCTTACCCCGCAAGTGTTCAAATACAAAGTAACACGTTTGCTACGGATCGAATGTCCGAATGTCCATGTCCCCAAACCCACGTGTGGACCCCAACTCCCAACGCGATGCGTGGGAGGCCTTTGGGAGGTGGCTCCCTTGTGGGGGCGAGGTCCTGCGGTGGGGTCGGGGCTCCTGGACGAGAGGCCACAGACAGCGCCTGCCCCTTCCGCCACGGAGGACACGGCGAGAAGACGCGCCGCCGTCACCACGCAGCATCTGCGGCGCCCGACCCTGGACGTGCAGCCCCCAGAACGCGAGTGACTGTCCGTTGTGTCGAACCTCGCCCGACCCCGCCCCCGTCTGGGCGGTCTGTTACAGCGGCCCCGAAGACTGGACACTATTGAAACCTCATATTGGAAAACGTACCACACTTTAAACACCAACACGTAAACTGACCTGTCTCGTTTCCGTCCCTTTTCTAAGTTCTCCTGTATTTCGATCCTAAGTGAAACATGAATTCGGCTAATAAAAGTTGAGGTGCGTAAAACTTCATTACCGCTGAATTCTAAAGCCACCCCTCCTTCAGTTTGGAGGGGGCGCATAGTCCCTTGGGGCTCACCTGAGGGTGGCCCTAGGCCTGTCCGGGTCGTAGGACAGGGACCCGCGGAGCACGACGGTGGCCGAGGGTCTCCTGGCGACGAGCAGGTGCGTGCCCTCGGAGATGACGCTGACGGGGGCCCTGGCTCGCACCTCCACGCTCA